ACACGATCACACGCACAATCACACACCATCGACAACACACACACACGCACACGCAATCACACACAAGCACACACAATCACTCACAACCACACACAGTCATACGCAAACACACACACACACTATCACGCACAATCACACACAGTCGCACACACACACACACACTATTACGCACACGCACACACACATATACTCACACGAAATCACAAACACGATCACACACAGACACAATCACATACATAATCACACATACAAGCACACATGCACACACACAATCACACAACAATTCACACAATCACTCACAATCACGCTCAAACTCACACATACACTCACACACAATCACACACGATCAAGCCCGATCAAACACAGTCACACACAATCACACACGCAACCACACACAGTCACACACAATCACACACAATCACACACAGTCACGCACAATCACACACACAATCACACACAATCACACACAACCACGCACACACAATCACACGCGCACACACGCGCACACACAGCCATACACATACACACACACACACACACCCCAGGGGCGCCGACGTCATGCGCAAGCAACTGAACATGTCTTCTGGGAAGAAGCAACGCAAGTGCTCATAGGAATGCGTGTATTCAAGAGATGGCATCTGAAACGACCTGCGTATGCAGGCGTGAGGGCTCATACGCCCTTAATTGTCTCGATCATGCGTCAGACCTAAACGTAGATGCGCGTTGGATGCGGCTCGCAAATGCATGCACGTTTCTTGACAATGTAGAATGCACATTGCGCCGTAGGGTTATCACCCATCAGGTGCGCCAGGAACACTGGGCACGCCTCCATTCACACACAAACACACGAGCCATGCGAAATCAATTGCAGCCCGATGCTAGTCACCATCCTGTGGAACCTGCTGCTGCACCGGCGCCATTCCATGTGGAATGCCCTGCGGCGGTCCCTATACCCTATATCATCTGCAGCGCGGATACGAGCATACCCCGCGCTCTGGGCATCGGAACCGCCACCAGAGGCACTCCATGCAAGCATCACAGCGCAACTTTCTGCCTTTCTGTTCCCTTGGAACCCACCCTGGCCCCATCTGAAGGAAACGCGACCCAACCCCGAGCGAGACTATGGGAGCACAAGACGTTCGGTCTGGTGGACCGTCCCTGGCAAGTTCGGATGACTGAGGTCAAAGAGGCGTGAGACTAAGGGTACGGATAGCCTGCCGCAACAGACTGCACATAGACGCATCATTGACCAAACGAGGGAGACTGGAAACCAAACGCATACAACATCTTGTCGAACAAATGCGATGGGTTGAACGCCATCGGTGTGATTGACCAGAGAAGGGCGGCAACGCATGGTGGAAGCTTGACAACATGTCTGGCACAGAGGAAAAACAACTTTTCCAATGATCCCTGCGGTCACGTTACTTCATAGTCGGAACTCACTGCGCTGAGCCACAGTCTGAACAAGGGAGGAAAAGCTGAGGAGGAGGAGGAGGACCGGGCGGGAGAAGAAGATATGAGGAGGACGAGGAGGAGGAGGGGGGCCGAACGGATAGGGGAGAGACAAAAAAGAATGAGGAGGCGGACGAAGACGGGCGGAGGCGGATGAAGACGGAAGGATAATGACGAGGATGAGGAGGGAGGGAGGGAAGGAGGAAGGGATGGAGGGACGGAGGGATGCGGGAGAAAGGGGGGTCGTGGGGGGAGGGATGCGGGATGCGGGATGCGGGAGGAAGGCGGAATGCGGGAGGAAGGAGGGGTGCTGGAGAAGCCCTCCTCCCCGGCCCGGAGAAGAGAGCATGAGGGGACACATCAACTTTCCGAGGTCCCCTCGGGTTTCTTCGATCGGCGCTTTGCCCACCCCCCTGACGCGCGAAGCGTGCCAGGGGCGGCCCACATGAGGCGGCGCCTGGGAAACTGCTGGTGCCGATCGGGGAGATCCGCGCGGAGCTTCTGACGTGCTTATGCAAATTCTGAGTTCTCTTCTTCGAGCGGGTGGGGCGCCGATCCGAGATACCCGCGCGGACCTTGGTACATTCTTGTCTATGCCATGCCCTCTTCCTCGAAATAGATTCCGGCGCCGATCCACAGAATCAGCGCGGACCCTCACTTATCCATGTCTGTGCCACACTCTCTTCTTCGAGGGGGGGCTTCCGGCGCCCACCCAAGAGGCCCGCGCGGTCCTCCTCACAAAATGAACGTCTGTGCCGAGTGCTCTTCTTCGAGAAGGCTTCCGACGCCGATCCAAGAGACCTGCGCGGTCCTCTGACAATCATTGCTTACTCATCGGTCGGAAAAGGTAGGTAGAAACATGAAAGAGGAAAGCGTTGAAAACAAAGAGGGTTCCGTCCACCCCCTAAGTAGTACGGAAAAAAGGTGAGCCCGCTCGATGATTGACGCAGGAAGGCGCCTAAAGTTTATTGGAATCTGGGAATCCCAGAATACCTATGTTCAACGACCGATGGGTACCCCGGCTCTCTTCTTCTTCTTCGAGGGGGCTTCCGGCGCCCACCTAACAGACCCGCGCGGCCCTCCTGAAGTTTACTTCTGTGCCAAGCCATCTTCTTCGAGAGGGCTTCCGACGCCGATCCAAGAGACCGGCGCGGTCCTCCGACATTCAATATTTACCCAGGGCCCTCTACTTCGGAAACGGAACGAAGGAGGAGGTGGAGGAAGGATGAGGATGAGGATGAGGATGAGGATGAGGATGAGGATGAGGAGGAGGAGGAGGAGGAGGAGGGGGGCGGAAGAAGAGGAGGGGGAAGAGAAGGTCGCCACGAGGAGGAGGAGGAGGAGGGAGGAGGAGGAGGAGGAGGAGGAGGAGGAGGAAGAGGAGGAGGACTTCGAGGAGGAGGATGAGGGGGACGGGGCTTCGAAGAAACACATTGAGGGTGGGCCGCCGCCGCGGCAGCCGCCGCTACCTCCGGCGGTCGCCGCCGAAACGGTCCCGGTCGCTGGGGCGCCTGCAGGCGCTGGGTTTTTGCGGAGGGGGCGGGGCCGGGAACGCGGCGGGAGGAAGGCTCCTCCGTCGTCGTCGTCGTCGTCCTCCTCCTCCTCCTCCTCCTCTCCTCCTCCCCCTCCTCCTCCTCCTCCTCCTCCTCCTCCAACTCCTCCTCCTCCTCCTCCTCCTCCTCCTTCTCCAACTCTTCCTCCTCCTCCTCCTCCTCTCGTTTTCCACCTTGCGGAGCCGGGGGTGCTGTCCTTTCTCTCGGTCCACGCAGCGGCGGAGTGGCGGCAGCCTCTTCTTGGTAATCCCCAAGCGCGTTGGTGACAAGACTCGGCGGTGAATCTCGGGCGATTTGGTGTCACCAACCGGTCTGGGGACTCGTGTGATTTTTGGAGGATCTCCCGAGCGCTGGTGGGTCCAGGGGTCACAAAAGCCCGGCGGTGACCCCGTGTCCCAAAACCCGGCTGTGAATTTTTGTTGGGGATTCCAGGTCACCACCTGGTATGTCACCACCTGGTCTGGGGGCTCCCAATGCTCGTCCTCCTCCCCATGTCTTCCACCTTGCGGAGCCGGGGTCGACCTTTTTTCCCCTGGTCCACCCAGCGGCGAAGTGGCGGCAGCCACCACCACAAGGGAGAGATTGTTGTTCAATCCGCTCGCTGCCGAAAACAATGGGGCCTCAAACTGGCTTGATGCCAAGCAACAGTGGGTCGAGGAAAGCACTATGGGTGAACGGTCTGGAAGCATAGAGGGGGCAAACTAAAACTGAATTCCACACGGATCTGTTTTTTTGCAGATCGGAACCCGTACGGCTTCAACCGGCACAATTTCACTAGCTCGCAGCAACAAGGCAACCGAGCTTATGAGCAATGCGCAGCTCAGGCCACACATCCTCACTCGCATGCGTGGTGAAAACACCCCCGACACCGCAACCTCAGAGCTCCAACGAACGACCCTTGCAAGCACAAAGGCAACCGTATTGGAGGCCCAGAGTAAATCATCCCCAAGACTAAACAAACTCTAAACAGATCCCGTACAAACCACAGCTAGGATATACATTACATGTAGCAGCGAAGCGACAGAGGGTTGTTGCCATAATGAAGCTAACTGAAATAAAGTCGCGTCTGGCTGCTGTATATATGTACATGGAGTGTACTCACGTCGTGACAACTCGATCACTCGTAAACCTGCCTCACTTGTCACCGCCTACCGCTAGGCTCGACGCGAAGTTCGTCTCGCACGATTTCCTTCTGCATATTTTCCGTCTGGGTCCTGGCAATTCGTCTCGATGTCTTGACCAGCTCCTCTCGAAAACAATGCTCCAGGTATCCCGATGCAAAGTCTCGCGCAGGTCTGCGGGCATGTCCTTGGCAAGGCAATCCGATACCATATTGGCTCCGCCCGCCCATCTTACAGGAGTCTGCGGTCTGTCGAAACCTCGCGTATGGTAGCGAACTCCACGATGATGCTCTTCTGAGTAGCGCTACCAACCCCCTCCACGATCGCTCGTCAATCGATCGCGCCCCTCGCGCGAGCCCGTCATGCCCGCGCATTGAAAGTGCCGGCCGAAGATCTCGACACCAACCTCGCCGAACTGGGCCGCGCAACGCTTCGGCAATCTGACGTCCACATCCTCGCGCCACGGCAGCTCCGTGGCCGGCGCGCGCCGCCCATGCAGCGTATAGGAGCTCCCAGCCGCGCGTCCCTGGTGCGCGACTCTTTGCCGCGCAGCATGGGCAAACGGCGGGGCGTGCCCGACACGAGCTTGTGGCCACCCCACGATCTGAAGAAACCGCCTGGGGTCCGATCTGCTTCGTCGCAGGGTCCACCGTGAGACTCGCGCCGTCGAGCGTCGCGTTCCCGAGGGAACCTTCTTGGGCACAGAAGAAGCCGCCGGACTCCAGGTCGCCGTGCTTCATCCTGACCACGAGCCTGGGATGCTTCTTCCCCTCTCGGACCACGTTGTTGGCTTCCATCAGCGCTCCGATCGCTGCTCCATGTCTTGCGGCCCTTCTCGCACTGCAATGATGTGCCAAGTCGTAGGCGCAGTCCACTCGAAGCTTCGTCGCCAGCCAGCTATCCGATAGCGGGCGAAAATAATACCCAGTGGATAACAAAGTTCGGGGGTCCGGCGGGGATAATCAAGGTTTTTCCCGGGGAAGGTGAAGCTATGAAGATGATGATGCTGATGGCGATGACCATGATGATGGTGATCCTGGGCGCTCGGCGCAAGACTGACTCGAGAAATCTCGATGCTCGTGGCTATACAACTTGCCAGCAGGCGCTCGGCACAAGACTGATTCGAGAGATCTCGAGGCTCGTGGCTATACAACTTGCCAGCAGGCGCTCTGTTAGTGCTGCTCGGTCATGCCCCAGGGCCGCCGCCATTGGAGCCTGTTGCGCGGCGCCGCCAACGTGTCCAAGCCCAACGTGTACTCCACTTCGTGTCCGTCATGTCCGCAACGTCGCCCTCCTCCTCGGATCCGAACCCGACCCTCGTACCGAGTTGAGTCATGAGGTAGGCCATCTTCTCGATGCCCGCCCAGAAGAAATCGCCCGCGCGAGTGAAAGCACATCCCCGCGACGTTTCTGCCGATGTCTCGGTCGCCGTCGGGCGGCGCAGGATTCCCAGGCCCGACCTCGAGGGCCCCCGCCCCTCCTTCTTCGCCTCAATCATTACCTTCAGGCGCCCCGGCCGCGGAGCCGGTGGTAGACCAAGCGGCTCCCGTCAGCGCGCGGGCTAAACACCCGCGACAAATCCAAGCGCATCTGGGCCGACCCTGGGGGCTTGATCACGAGCCCGCGATCGTCCGTCTCGCCCTGCAGGAAAGCGCCACTCGCGTCCTTGGTGCCGAACCTCCAGTTCGAACGGCCTGCCGCAGCTTGACTGAGGGCCATCTCCGACGGCGCGGTGGCACATGGTGCGTCGACACCTCACGTTGGCCTTCTTGTCGGATCTGCTGGGGTCGCCGCTGTTCACGACGAGCCTCGCGTTCGCCTTCTCGCTCAAATTGCCCCCGCCCGCGCCGCCGCGCGCAGCGGGTCGTTCTTGTCCGTCGCGCACCCCCGTGCTCAAGCAACTCCTTCTCCGGCTGGGCCGACTCCTCAGGCCTGGGGCCGCTGAACTGTAAGTGGCCCGCTTGTCCCGTTGATCCAATGTGGCCGTTGTACATTCTGCTTGCTCGACGGGATCCGCGCTCCGCGTCGGGGGCGCGCCGCGCCTGGTCGCTCGCGGGCATCGCCGCCGCGTGGGTCCACAAAATGTCGTTGAAGGAGAGTGCCGTTGGTGGGGTCGATGGTGTCGTGTGCCCATATGGTCCACAAAATCCTGGGGACAGGTCTCCTGGTGGCGGTCGAGGCGCTCTTCCTGGCGATCCCAAGCCAGCTTCTTCTGCACTTCGCATGGCCGCCCCCTCCTTCGCAGGCGTCGCCTCCCCCAATCTCGCGGCAACAGGCGGCGGAACGGGGTCTCAAAACCGCGCGCCAGCATTTTCAGGCGGCCGGCGCCTCTCCGGGTGGCTCTTGCGCGCCCTGCCAACTCTTGACTTTAGTCGCGCGCCTAACGGGATTTCCACATCTCCCGCCTGCTCGAACAGTGGTCGCGCCAAACCTTCGCTAGGGGTCTGCTCGTGGTTATTCGCGCGAGCCTGCTTCCTCGGCTCGAACTGCCTATGCGACTCGCAGCAGCGATCTCCTTTGTAGCAACCGCTGATATCATATCCATCGCGCGCTGCTCCTCCTCCTGGTTGTGGTCGTGCGCGTCGCCCATCTCGGAGATCCCTTCGTGACTCACAGCCTCCGCCTCGTGCTCGCCCACCTGGCCGCCCAGGTTCCCATCGTGATCATCGGGCGGCTCGTCGCCCGCCTCTGGGTTCTCGGACCCCTCCTCGTGCTAGTCCTTTGTGACGTCGCCCATGGGCGCCTCCTCCTTGCCCGTGAGTTCGAAGGCCCCCCCGCCGATCGCCATCTGCTCTCGCGCCCCGACGCTTCGTCGGGCGAGGCTCGACACGCCGCCGCTGGGTCGCACTTCGTCGAGAGACCGCCGTCGGGCACGTAGAAGGCGTTGCCCTCGACGCCGATCGCGGCCGATAGTCCGTGTCAAGACATGAGTGCGGAGCTGGGCCCCTTGCGTCGCCCTCCACGCCGCGTCCTCCTGCTTTGACTGTAGAAATGCACCGCGTCGCCCAACCTCGCGCACCTGCTCGGCGGATGCCGTCGGCCTCTCGCAGTAGCGCTCGCCGCAACCACATGTGAGGAGTCGTGTTCTGGGCGTTCTTGGCCCAAGTGATTCCCGCGGTGGCCGCGATGACATCGTCCCCGGTCTCGACTTCGGCATCGGCGATGGCAGCTTGGCGCATCATCTCCCAGGTGCCTCCAGCGCGCTCGCGCGTTCCGCTCCGCCGCTGGGCCTCGCGCCAAGCGCCTCCGGGAGACTGCTGGCATCCATCGAAAACTCCGAGCCGTTGTCCGCAACTGCGCTCGCCAGTGCACCTGCCCAACTTATCGATCATCGCTCAAGCGCCGTCGCAGCACGAGGCGTAATCGTAGAATGCGACGTCGCCGCCATCTGAGAGACCGTCGTGGGGCCCACCGCGCCCGGCATCTCCACGGCGACAATCGACGACGCGTGCGCCGCGAAGAAGGTCGCGACCTTATCGCCAAACTACGTGACTGTCTTCGGTCGGCCGGATACCCGATAGCTCCAACATCCAGTCGGGTGAATTCCGCGCAGATCGTGCTGCGCAGTGGAGGAGCTGCCTTCACCGCCTCCTGACTGGCGCCCCCCAGTCGCAGCGCGCGTGGGCAATGTGCCGGGGGTGGGTGCTTAAGATTGCCGCGTCACCGCGTTGTGAATGTCTTTCGACGCGTACTCGGTGCTCGTCGCCGCGCCTTCTCTTTCGTTTGGCTCGTAGTCCACCCAGTTAATCGGGGGTGCCGTCATCTAGCTGCGCTCGTCGCAATCAGGGGTCTCCTCAACTGGCGGCGCCCCCGTTGCCGCGTATATCTCCACTTGGG